ATTTTTTAACAGATCTTTGATACTTTTTTTTATCTCTGATTTCAAATCTGAAATCTGTTTCTCTCCTTCTGAGCCATGACATTTTCAGTTTTTTTTTTTTTTTTTCAAAATGTGCAATTTTAAAAATGTTATGTATAACAGGATTGCATAAGTGTTGTGACATACTTCTAGGGGATTTAAAACATCAGGATTAAATTTGCTTATGAACCTATGCCCAGAAATGTTCTCATATGCCACCTATTATGGACTGTTTCTTCACGTGCTCCTGAATAAGTTATATTAGAAAAACATACCTAGTCGCATATGGAAGCATTTTGGAGCATGGGTTCCTATGCAAATTAAAATCTGATCATGTGTTCTAACTCCTAGAAGTAAGTTTCAACATTTACACTACCTTTTACATTACATTTATATACTGATAACATTTTTAAGCTTGTATATTTCGACAAAAAATGTCATTTTTTTAAAAATCTGTAGCTTTAAGAGCAAAACTAATTTCAGATTTGAAATCTCTATACCTGAATTAGGCAAGATCTAGTATTTGTATAAATGAAACTAAAAATTTATTCCGCAATGTAATTTTTGATTTTATAATTCATAAACCTAACTTGGAAAGAACAATGGAGTATACTCAGACATGATGACTATCAAATAGTATCTGTTGACCCCAAAACCCAAGGTTTAATTAATAGACTAGTTATTGCTCATTCTTTTTATTTTCTTAAACATTTATTCAGAACATATTCTGCACCTAGTTGTTCTCTATGTCGATTTGTCATTATTATTAAACGTTCTACCCAACTGTAAACAATACCAACATTTCAGGAACAAAATCTTTAACAACTTTTATCCTAACCTTAAATCCTTGCTTGCCTATACATCACAATCTTATTAGGTTTATCAAAACAATAAGACTATATTCATTACTGTAAAAAAAATAAGTGCAACTTTTTTACCTAGTAGTTGGCACAGTATTGAAAATTAATATTTTCAAAAAGAAAACATACCTGAATAAGTCAATTATATATTTTATTAATGGACAGGCTTGCTCGTAATTCACATCATTCCCATAGGATCTTTTGTAATAGTCTTCAATATCATCAGCGTATTCCATGACTTTTATGTCGTCATTCGAAAACAAAGAACACCAAGCATCACTGATGTTCAAAGCATGCCCAAATGTACAAGCCACATACATATGTGTAATGTCCTCTAACAAAAAAAAATATTGTTAGAAAAAATGTGTCACCATCTAATGTATCTACTTTTAGGACACAAACTATTCATACTAAACAGAAGTTTATTAAAAATCAAAATTACAAACATAACTCATACAATGATTCTCTTAACTTTTGCACAGCAAAATAGAGTAATTTTATATTAACTTTATGTTCATAGTTCTTTTTAAAAAAAATTTTTTTTTCAATATTTGCCCTTCCTGAAATTCTTTAGTAACCTTATTTTTTATTATTTAAGAAATATTTTAAAATTTGTTTTTTCCCTGTGAAATAAATGTTTTTATTTTGTTATTATTTTTAGTAAAGGTAATAAAATAATTATAATTGAAGATAATGCCTAATATAAAATACTGTTACTTATATATTAGAAAGGTAAACTAAGAAAATACTTCTAAGGAAATATGAATAAAAAATTGAAATTAAATAGAAATTTAATATCTTTTTACATAGTATTAATAATTTAATATTTACTGTCTGTTGTAGTAAACCACAATTTGATCAAAAACAATTAGAGACTTATTTACTTTTAAAAATTATGTCCATCATGGACCCCACTATTTGTAACCGGTAAACTTTGCCTTGCGAGGGATAAGAGGTAAAACCTTATTATCTTGTCTGGAAAATGCTAGAAAGTAATTGAATATTCATTGGTAGTAAACTTGAAAATTTAAATTTTCAGTTAGTAGCCATTGGCCAGTAGGTTCAAATTACTTAGTGTCTATTTTTTCCTCAAACCTAATGAGTTGGTGACTGATATCAATAGGTTCTTTTCAACAAATAACCACTTCTGGCAAATTTTTTTTTTGGATAAAATGATACATTTAAAAAAGAAAAACGATGAAAAAAGAAGTTGTTTGAGCCACTTTTTTTTTTGTTGACTCATCATGTGGCAGGTGTTTATTTTTAGGTCTAAATGTTGTGATCAATAATTATCTAATAATAAAATACTAAGTGGTAATGTTAACAATTTCAGAATTCTTCTACAAAATCTCAGCTTTTAAAATATTCGAATGAAATTTAAATGACTCCATGAGCTTTGTATTTATGAATCAACTGATGAAACAAAACACTCCTATGATATTATGAGCATAATTTATTTTAGTTTAATATGTTCTAATTATATTTTGAAACCACAAATCTCTACCATTAATAAGTTCAAACATTTGTTAAGCTTGAAAAACAAGTTTTAAAAATTATCTTCCACGATATTATCAGTTATTGTAGTATAATTTTTTTTTCCTTAAAAAAAATGTTCAGTTTTAGTCACCTATATCGCCGCCACTGATAAAAGCAGAAAAAAAAATATCAATAGAATATTTAGTACACAATACCACTTGAGACACCGAAACCAATCCTCTTTGAAATGCTGTCGAGGGCTTTTTGCATCAAGGTGCCATTCACATATTCTTCTACTTCTTTTACATCAAATTGGGGATTATCGCATTTTTTCTAAAAATTGTACAGCAAATATTTTTTAAAAAAAGAAGATACATCATATGCAATATGTCTTAAAATATATATATATGTAACATAAAAAGCT